TGTCCTCCCCGTAAGGCTCCAGGGTGCAGAGGAAAACCCACACAGGCAGACTGGAGAGCCAGCAGTGCAGCACTGGGCTGATGCCCATGTGCTGGCCAGATTGGGGAGCAAACCCTTTCCCCAGCCCGCTCTCATGGTCAATGCTCTGAGCCTAAGACCCAGGAGAAAACATAAGACGCCTGGGCATTGCGAGCCCAGCACAAAAAGAAAAAGAAAGACACATATTCACTGTAGCAAGGCAAAAGACGGGGGAGGTGAGGGGGAGCCAGTCGCACCTGGCAGAGCCAAAGCATAAGGAATCACTTGCTTGCAGGCCAGATTAAAGCCTTAGGCGGGCCGCTTCTGGCCCGCGGGCCGTAATTTGATACGCTGGTTTAAAGTCACATCGAAACAGCAAATTCTCTTTACCTCCATTTGATTACTTTGCAAGGAAGCTTCAAATCAGACAAGAACAATTTAAAAGTGTCACATTTATACTCAACTGCCTTCATATTTAACTGCCTCAACTGGACATTTAGGTAGTTAACAGCAACAACATATATCTTGACAAGTGCATTTTCTGTTGTATAGTTTGTTCTATCATGCAGTCCATTCTCTTCCACATCACTGCCTAAGAAAAACAAACTTCTCTTCAAAGCCGACTGCAAAACTCACAAAAATAAGGCTGGTCGAAAAAGTGATACTGTAACTAGCCTGACAATCTTTGTTTTTTTTAAAAAAACAACAACACATACAGTGACAATGTTCTATCAAGTTTTCATTGAATGCAAAGGCACTTGCAGTGACAACAGAGCATCCACATGGTTGTTTCTCCTCACATTTTCCTTAACGCAGCTGCCCCCCCCAGCTGCCCCCCCTGCACTACCACTGGAGAGCTTTATCAGGCTTTGAAAAAAACTCAAAAATTGCTTTACTACTGTAGCAATACTGCATTTACCATTTGTTTTTAAAAGGCCAGAAAAAGCCCCCTGGTGGCACAATTGAACCCTGAGCAGTGGGTACTAACCACAGTTGAAACAGAATAAATGGGCACAACTATGCCCATTCTTGTCTAGACAAGAGAAGTGCTGCATCTATTAGGAGTCAAAGATTACACTTTGTGGTAGACGGTTCAGATGTTCATTTAAAAAAAATCACAGACCTCACAATTCTGTTTATGAGTTATAGTAGAAAGAACTACACACCCAAGATAGAGTACTCTAGAGAAATTACTATATTTCTCAGATGAAAAAGCTACTTTCCTTCCAAATTTTAACTCTGAAGTGCTAATGAATTCAGCAGTCATTTTTAAAAAAATATATTCCAGTAAAATTATTGCTTGTCAGGTCCCATGGCCTGTATGTCACACTCCCATCCCCATTATTTCAAATCAGAGCAACAGTTTCCCCAAACCGGATTTTAAAAGATTTATTAATCTTCCTCTCTGCTCATGCAGACTAAAGAACATTTCATTCTATTGGTTTTTGTCTTGTTTTTTGCAAGGTCTTTCATTTTTGTTCCATTGTCTGAAGAGAAGCAAACATGGGCATTGATGGGCTATGGCAAAGTGTTTATCAGCAATAAAATGGCAAAGTTCAGATCTTATGTGTTTTGGTATATATCAAAATGGCAGCATGTTGACTTGCAAATGGAATGAGCACGCACATTATAGCCATGGGTTCTACAGACAGCAGCCTGTCTTCATAACTGAAGCATTTATAGCTCAGACATCAGAGGGTTGCCAACGTTACCTTACTAATATGGTTAACCTTAGCAAGAGATCAATTACTTCTTGCCAACTGAAATTAACTCCACTGTGACCTAAGCTCCCTCCCTTCTTGTTACATCATGTGTCCCAAATTCATATACAGTTTTCTAACATGGAGAAAGAATGAGATGATGTAGTCTATCAAGCATGAGAGATGTGAATTTTAAATAAATTACCCATCTATTTTTTTAAATACAGGAATCCATTTTTCAGCTCCTCTTACTACAAAACCAATTGCAATTACTACCAAATCATAACTAAATCAACAGATGCAGGAACAGAGCCAAGGTTGACAACATAAACATTTTTTTTTCTTTAAGGAACTTAGCACATTCTACATAGTAGATAATATTCGGTATTCAGTTGAAGTACCTAAAACCTACTGAGTTCAGAGGGACCAAGTACATGCAGCTGGAGTCATTTATAAAAGACTACAGGAGAGTACATTCGAAGGAAACTATCAGACTATTTTACATTAGAAAACACAAAAGTAAAATAAACTCCTGAAATTAATCTTTTTCAAATAAATTGGGTTATAACAGTAAATGTTTCCTGTGCTGAAAGTAAAAGCAATGCATCAATTTCTCCTGCAGGTCATTCAAAATGCTTCCCCCTCCCCCCAGTTGCCTTGATAAAAACCATTTCTCATATTCCAAGATGGCAATGCAAAACCCCCGAATCTAGAATTTGGGCCATTTCAGCTAAAACCCCAAAAGTCAAACAGGGACAAAAAAGGGGGGAGGGGGAAATAACCCTGAACCTAAAACCTAGAATCCAGGTTTTAGGTTCAGGTTTTCCCCCCCTTCCCTCCTTTGTTGTCCCTGTTTGACTTTTGGGGTTTTAGCTGAAATGCAAAAACCCCTACATAAAACGTTTGGTACCTTCAGTTTCATTGAGCTCAAAGTTGTTTTGCAGTTTGCAAAACAAAATAAGAGTGAAGGAAGAATAATCAGTAATAAAGTTCTAATTTGTTTGACTCAGAGAAAAGCATTATAGATGCAGAATTGTTTGTTACAGATGTCAACTCCATACCCATAGTCGGTTGGATCCAAAGGTGCCCTTGTGTCTTTCCTCAGCATGGTGAATCCACAATTTCCATGCCTTCTGTGCTACATCCACCCCAAAACACATTTTCGCCCTCTGTGAGGCTTCAGTTACCCACATTAGTGAACACAGTTACCTAAAATAAGTTCAACCCAACTGACTATACAACTGGAAACCCCTTAAGATAATCAGGGACACAGTTTTGGTCACATCACTGTGACACACTACTGAACATGTGACATCAACCTTCTAGGAAAGAGCTATAACCTATGCTGATAGGTTAGACAAGACCAGGACTGGACAGTGATCATGATAAGGGGTCGGGAAAGTCAGGGCAGCATCCATGGAAGGGCAGATAAAGGGAGGCCAGACTGGGGTTCAAGGAAGCTTTCTTAAAGTATGGTCATTAATAAGTTCATTCACGGGCCTTTTTGGGCATACAAGGGCAATTCCAGCTATGCAATAGAAGGCATAGCAGCATGAGATAGCTGTACAGTCCACCACCATCCACTAGGGAACACAAACCTCAGAGACCAATAGGCAGGGCATTTCAAAGTCATAGCAGATTAACTGTTGTCGCAGCTTTTCTTTCTAGAGACAGCAGGAAGCCATGAAGGGATTCTGGCAAGAATAGACGTGAGGCAAGCTTTAACACAGTAACAGTTTACTAAAGATTTCTCTCCCCCCCTCCCCCAGTTCACAATCTAGCTTAAGGCTTCCTTTGCAAGATGGCTCCTTAACTCAAACATGACTATAGCTTCACCATTCTCCTTTCCCGTCATTCCCCCCCAACCTACATGGTTTTGCAGCTAAGATTTCATGATCACAGCAGACATTAAAAGAGCTCATGCACTTGGGAGCAAGCCCCACCGTCCTCTGAAGGGCTTACTTTGGAGTAAGCATGCACAGGATCAGTCCAAGAGCTCAGGGTTATCTTTACTTGGAAGTAAGCTTCATTGGAATCAATGTTTACACTCTAGAAAAGTTTTGGGGCTAGAAGCGTCAACTCTCACAGAATCTTGAAACGTACTAAGTAATTAGCTCAAAAACGCACATGCAGCAGAATGTCACATTTCAAACACCGAATCGCCAAATGTCAGGAATGTGTTTAGAAACTAAAAATACACACTCACAGTAAAGCTACTGAGCTAACTCAGACCCTCTCCCCCAAAACTATTTGCCAATAAGTGCACTATTCAAATGCCCCTCACAAATCCTAAAGATAAGCAATGCCTTTGTTAACTTGGTATACATCTTAACAGCCAGATTTTGTTGTTATACTAAGAGAAATGCAAGTTCTGACAGATACAGAAAGAAATGCAATCACCTTGCACAAGTGTCTGACAGGAAAATCTAGTGAATATAAGCTAGGAAGCATCTTCTGTAACTTGTTAACAGCTTAGCGTTTTCTACACTCGCCCAGTCAAATATTAACTACACTTCACACAAGCCTGGTGAGCATAACAGTAATCATAATTTTGCTGTAGTGGCCAGTTTTGCACCCGGGGGTGGGGGGGAGGACCTATACCAGAGACAGACGTACAGAAGGGGAAAACGTGACACACTTGTTATGCTCTGCAGCCAAAGGTGCGTCGCCTCCTATCCAGCAATAACTATTTGTTTCGGGAGGCGAAAGAGCTTCCTCTTTACCATTTGAGTCGGCATTGGAGACGCGTTTGCAGCTAACCAGACAGACTTCCGGCATGCAAGGAAGTTACAACTTAAAAACAACTACGAATGGGCGAAGTAGTAGTAGCGAAAAGCACCACCTCGTTGCAAATGAATGAGGCTCGCGCGGGTTGTGCGGGGAAGAGAAAGCGAGTCTGCCGGCTGGAATCCCCGCAGGCAGCCTTGAAGGAGCGAGAACTCTCCCCTGCCCGACTCTGATCAGCAGTTTATGCAGCCTTCCAAGTACCGTCGTCGTCTACCTACACAGTAGCCCATCCCACGGGACCCTTCTGAAGGGAGAGGGGGAAGAAAGGACATAAGAAGAGCCCCCCCCCCCGCATCAGTGCCCGCACTTGAGCAGCACAAAACGTCGCCGGCAGAAGGGGAATCGTCACTGTCAAGTTGTCGCTACGCCCCAAGAGGAAAGGGAGTCCGTCAAGCAACTCCCTAGGCAAGCGATGGGCTGGATCGCGAGGGCGCGGTCCTCCGAGCACCCCCACACACACACACGCACCCAGCCGCGCGCCCCGGACCCCCTTACCAGACTCCCAGCCGCGCGCTCTTCCTCCGCGGAGTCGCTGCTTCCGCGCGGGACTGAGGGCGAAGGTCTGTGGCCGCCGGCGGGGGCAGCAGCTCAGCGTTTCCTTGCCGCTGCCGTTCCTACTTCCCCTCGAAGCGGCACGCTGGCGAGGCAGAGCGGGAAGGAAGGGCGACGAGCCAGCCCCGGAGGAAGCGAGCGGTACGGCCGGCCGGCCGGCCAGGCAGCCAGAGCGGGAGAAAGAGAGTCAGAAGTTTGCAGCCGGCCAGGGCAGGAGCCGCCTCCGAAGGACTGCGCCCCGGCTCACTGGCCCATTGCGCGCGCACCGCCGAACCCTCGGGACGCGCTCGCTGCTCGGCTTTAAGGCTGGAGCCCCGTTCAAGCCGCGGGGAGCGCAGCTTAGATTAGAGAGCGGACCAACCCCGGCCCTGAGGGGTGGGGGTGGGGGGTGCCAGGAAAAGAGCAGCTCCACTCCTGCGTCGCCGCTTCCCTCCCGGCTGGCACTCACCTGCCCACGGGGTGTCCTCTCGGGAAAAGTAGCGGTGCCCTGCACGGGGTGGGGGGGGGGGGGAGAGGGCGGTCCTTCAAGCCTCCAGGTTGGGTTTCAAGGGACTCGGCGCCTCCCGCTGCAGTGGAGTATTTGGTATCGCCTTCCACACCCCACTCCTATAATATGCGCACCGCTTAGCCTAGGGCGAGCGGGAAGTTAGTCGGAAGCGAGATGGGGAGGTTTTGGTTCGCTGGGAAATGGCAATCGCTGCTGTTGCTTGTGGGAAAGGAAGGAGGTTCCAACGTCCTGGAATGGTTGCCCTACCTGGTTGCTTTACCTGAGGTGGTAGGGGGATTGCTTCTGAGCGAGCAGCCTGTAACTCTTGGGAGTGGCTTTCCATCTAGGCTAGAGAAGGGTGCACGATGAGTCTTTTTAGGTACTATTAAGACTCCTGTTTAGTTTTACTGTGGATCAATTAACAGCGGCTGCCCTCTGGAGTTAACTTCCGTGGAGTTTGGCCCATTAAATTATCATAAGATTCTCTATCCATATGCTCCTTTCTGCAACTGCAAATGGGCATTTTCCATTTTTAAAATGTTAATGTGAAAAAGTAATGACAAAATATGACCAGTTTCCATTGTTAGACTTACTATTCCAATACAGTATAGAAAAGGACCATTTTTCTATAAACTTAAAAGAAATATATACAGGAGTCTTATGTCACTTGAATCTCTTGAACCTATGTGCATGTTAATTTCAGTTTTTAAAATCTGTCTTCCAAATATCTGTGTGCATGTTAATTTCAGTTTTTAAAATCTGTCTTCCAAATATGCCAAGCAGTAATAGGTGGAACATTTTCCTATTTCCATTAAGAGGCAATATGTAATTTGGCTAATGCAGATGTACTGCCATTTCCGTATTCCTGTCAACAGCACTACTTTTTCAAAAAACACAGTGGTAACTATTTGTCCGCAAGGGATATGATATCCAGTTAATTGATAAATTAAATCTATAACTGCCTCCAGAAGCTTTGGATCTAAGGGCAAGACTGAAATATGTGTCGAGAGAAACCTTTTTTTAAAAGCCCTCTGATGTACAGCAGTAGTTCTCAGTCTCTATAGAGGAGATGGATGTATAATCCCCAACCTGGAATATTGGACATACTTTTGATTTTTACAGTATGTAAACTTTCTCTGTGTATTTGCTTTCCCTCTTCTATTAAAAGCTCCCACAGATTAAAGGAGGACAATACTGCCCTGACCTGTATAGCCCGGGCAGGCCCGATCTCATCAAATCTTGGAAGCTAACAGGCCGGTAGCCAGGATTTCTTGTGTTGGGGGGCATTTAAATTTTTTAGGGGGCACTTAATTCAAGTTGATTACATTAGCTTTAATTCAATTAACCCATCTTCAAGGCTTACCCCCTTTTCTTTTACAAGGGCCAGGTGGGGAAGGCAGGCGGCAAGATGGTGGAGGAGCACGCCGCTGCCCTTGGCCACTCGGAGAGCCGATGCCTGGGAGAGACGCCTCGGGCTCCTCCATTGCTCTTTCCAGAAAAAGGAGAACACTTTTGCAAGTCCCCCTTTGCGGGCCTGAACCTTGCAATATTGCAGAGCTTAGCCTGGGCAGGCCAGTCTCGCTTGTCAGCAGCAGGTCGGGCTTGCTTGCCTTGCTGGCTCCCCCTTCCCCTGGTCGGGCTGCTGCTTCTCCATGTCTCTGGAGATCACTCACCCACCCCTCTCCTCCTCGCCCAGCAGCGGCTGAGAGAACAGCCGGTGCCCAGTAAGGGAGTAAGAGCCAGCCAAGCACCTGCTGCGCCTTCCCGCTTTGAGAGCCTGGGTGCACTTTCATGGCAGGGGCAAAGTGCAGACAGACTCCTCGCTCGCCCCTCCGTTGCTCATCCCCCCCCCCAAGAACTTTTGCAAGCCCCCCTTCATGCACTTGAACATTACTATATTGCAGAGCTCCTCCTCGGCCACTGCCTCCTCCTCGCCCAGCAGCCGCTAAGAGAGCAGCCGGTGCCCAGCAAGGAATAAAGAGCCAGCCGCGCACCTACTGCACTTTCCCGCTTGTAGAGGTGCACCTTTGGGGGGGGGCACAGAGTGGCTCCCTCGTGGACTCCCCCTTCCCTTGGGTTGGGCTGCTGCTCCTCCCCATCTCTGCCACACACTCATCCACTCCTCCCCTCCTCTATGCCTCAGGCTGAAGGCTGCCAGGTGTGCCTCCTCCTCCTTGGCCGTAGCCGCCTCCTTGCCTGGTGGCAGCTTGGCAAGCAGCTGGTGCCCAGCAGGGAGTGAAAGCCAGCCAAGTGCCTGCTGTGCCTTCCCACTTCCAGAGGTGCACTTTTAGGGAGTCAGAGTGCAGACAGATCCCTCGCTCATGGGCTCCCCCTTCCCCTGGGTTGGGTTGCTGCTCCTCCCCGTCTCTGGCACTTGCTCCCCTGCCCCTCCCCCACTGCCTCCTTGCTGAGTGGTGGCTTGGCAAGCAGCTGGTGTCTAGTGAGGGAGTGAAAGCCAACAGTGCACCTGCTGCAGCTGTGAATATGAGATTGGGGTCAGCAGCTGCCCCGTGTGCTCGCCGGCTCTTCCTTTTTCTCTCTCTTAAAACTTCTAAGTCATTTTTAATAGATTCATAGAGTTGGAAGGGACTTCCAGGGTCATCTAGTCCAAGCCCCTGCACAATAAATAAAATTCACATATACCTCCCCCTCACCCCCAGTGATCCCTGCTCTGTGCCCAGAAGGGAGGGATGGACACCCTCCAGGATCCCTGGCCAAACTGGCCTGGAGAACAATTGCTTCCTGACCCCAAAGTGGCAATCAGCATTTCCCTGGGTGTGTAAGAAAGGGCCACAAGAATTTCCTTTTCTTAATACAATTTATTTATCTGGGATATTTCTCTTAATCTCTTCCCCCCTCCTGTTAGACTGTACAAGTGCTAAGGTGGTTTCTACCCTGTCCCTTCATTATTTCTCTAATAGTTCACTGAAAGAGTGCCTTCTCAGGGAGTCAGTCTAGATGTCCTCAGGAGGTTCTGAGTGGTGGCAGCTGGTTACCAGGGTGCTTTCCAGGGAACCCTTGGACTAAGAGAGTTTACCAGCTAGGAAAGACACCATTTCCCCTTTCCGACCACCCATCTGTTGCTGTCTTTCAACAGCAGGTGAAGATTCTGTTTTGTTTCGTTTCGTATTTCCTCCAATATTTTTATCTTTTGTATATATTTTAATTATTTTATATGTATTTTAATTCTGTTCTTAAAATATTTTTAAAAATGGTTTAATTATGTATATTTGGGAGGAGGAATGATTTTAGTGGTTTTATAATATAACTTTTCTTGTATGTCTTAAATTGTTGGCCGCTTTGGCAGCCCTTGTAAGACCAGAAAAGTGGATATAAATTTTGTTGTTGTTGTTGATGATGATGATGATGAAGCCAATGCCCCAAGGGCACTAAGGTTCTTTGACTTGTGTGGCTAGCCAATAAACCACACAGTTAAAACAATCATCCAGGCAGTAAAGGGTAACAAAATAATTTATTTGAATAAAGGAACGCCTCGCAGCTTGTAGATGTTCAATGTGTTATAGCTGGGATCTTGCTTATATGCTCTTCTTGCTCCTCCTCACTTTACATCATCACTGACATCATTTAGACAAGCTCAGTTCAGATTTCTTTGTCTGGTCAGTCATCAATCACATATTTGACAAACAGGATGTTACTTGGCTGCGCCTCTCAACTCTACAATGCAGGTGCTCTTCTCATTAAAAATGATGGATGTATTCCCTTTTGGCTAGTTCTCCAGACTTCACCTTTGAATGAACTTTATACGCATGAAGAGGCTAAGTTCATTTTCAGTATAAAATCTATCAGTCCTGTTACAAAATTGGTTTTCTTATATCTATACAGACATATATTTTACAAAAACACCTTTGCTGGGGGGAGGGCGGGGTATAAATTTAATAAATAAATAAATAAATTTTGTGATCTATCTCTATTAAAGAATATATGGATACATTGAATTTCTGGAAAAATACAGCACTATAGCACTGTTTTCACAATTATATATTCTTATATATACACTTTTCTAATACTCTTATACTAGACTCATATATATACACTTTTCAAATACTATAAAGTGGCCTATGCCATAAAGCTTCTGTAGATACATTGAATTACACATTATTATTCATTTTTGGTTCATCAGGGAATTTTACAGAATATGTAAACCTTTTAAGTATCATTTCATCAAGATATGTTATTTTACTTTAACCAGCAGAAGTCACCCTTTTATAACACAAGTTCTGCATTTTTAATTGACTTCTAGCAGGTGTGTATGATTGATTTCTATGACATCATCTGCTTGTGAGTAGCTTGTTAACTTAAAAAGCACACAATAACTTATGGAAGACCCTTTTAATTAGTTTCTTTAACGGAGAGACCCATGATTAGTTATTTTTGTTTTGGCTGAATCTTCACATACACACCTGATCAGCCCTTAGTCATTTTCTAATGTTTTGCTTGTTAGTGGTTATGGATATCTGCCAGATTAGTTCTGAGTGTATAATGATTTGTCCTTAGGCAAGCATCCTTTTTGTCTTAAACTTAATAACTTTCTATAGCAAAGCTTAAAATTAATAAAGGATAGTTGCTTTTACAAATATCTTATAAATATTCAGCCTTAAACATAATATAAAGTTCTAAAAACACACACAATCAGATCAAGAGAAGGGATTTCTCTCTGTTACAGTATAGAGCTGTCCTCTGTTTTACCCCAATTTTAGGCTTTTTGCTAGCAACATCTTGATTAATTCCTTTGAAGTAAAAGGATTCTACTATAAATCTTCTGACAATTATTGTGGTGCTTTCCAATTAAAACTCACTTCACTAGCATTAGTGTTTCAGT